AATATACACGGCAGAGAACCGTATAGGTCGTCTAAATATCGACAAGGCATTTGTCAGAAATTATTGGACCACCGAAGCTCAGAAAAAGTTTCAGCGTTTGCCTGATAATCTCATCGGTCAGGGTATTAGGAGCATTGAAGATGGGCAATGTTGAAGGACACCGCTCTGTGCACCGGCAATCTTCCTTTGAATCCAAAAATTCATCGGCAACAGAGCGAAAATGCTAGCGGAGACCAGTTAATATACACCGTATGACGCTTTAGATGCAAGTTGTTTCGCAAAGTCTCCACGCTTTTCTTTAGGCTGACAATCAATTGTACATGCACGCCACATCACCGGAAAGCTGAAGTTTTCCTCTAATCCCCTGTCCCTCGAAGGTCCTGGCCACTTTAGTAGCTGCATTCTAGCAACTGCGCTTCTTGCGTAATCGCATACTCATCTACCCGTCCGTATTAACCGCACACGTATTATCTGCACCTGGACATCAATCACCGTTTTTGAAATCGGGCAGTGTCCTCTGAACAAAGGAGTTCGTAATTGTAATCATTTAGCCGTCTGTTATTCCAGGTCGCAGTCTAACTCATATCAGAGTGCTTTATAGCACATTTTCTCTGTATTCTCCCTATTTTAGCCCTACTTCAGATACGAAGGTCCTGGCCACTTTAGTAGCTGCATTCTAGCAACTGCGCTTCTTGCGTAATCGCATACTCATCTACCCGTGTGTTGGTTTTAACTTTTTCACGATACTCCAATAAATCTTATTCAAAATGACAACCCAAGATGACTCACCCAAACTGTTCACATACGGGTGTACCCGTTAGCCCAAGTACAGCGTCGCGTTGACGGTACTGCGACTGCCATACTCAATCTGTTGACATGGCCTTGGTTTACCAGACAAGTGTGTTATTTGCACCCTCAACTCCGTCTTGTTCAATTTAACTTGTTCCATTACTTTGAATCTCAAGGTCAGGTGTTGTAAAAACTTTTCGGGACCCTAGCCCTACCGTAGCGTTTTAGTTACCCTAGTAGAGCATTTCGCTACCTATTTTAGATATCTCGTTTTTGACCGCACCTAACCACCCCTCAAACTCTTCCTAGCTTGATTAGGCCACACTGAGCATAAGCTTGCTAGCATAATCCCACTGAGGCTTACTATTACCTGATTTGAAGCAAACAATGCCAATTTAGTGGACCTCGGGGATCTTTACATAAAACTGGTGCTGCATGTGAGTGGTTTAAGGTTTCGAAAAATTACATCATATGCCAAAATATTAGGTTAACTATTCTCCCTTCGAACAATGGTTTTGGATACATTAGTGGTGCTCATTTAAGAGTCAGCGTGACGCTGGTTCAGGACACACATTATCCAAATACCTGCTCTCTCCTCTCCTCAGTCCTTAAGACTATTGAAAGACACCCTTGGTTGGCGAAAGAAGCAAATAGACAGGTCGCAGCAAATACAAGGGGTT